TTCTGAAGAAGCGTTGAACTGTTTGCATATACTTTATATTAATAAAATTTTCAAATTATGCGACCTTTGAAAAACTGGGTTAAAAGGGTTTGTGGGACATCTTTCAAAAAAATCACTAAGCATCCAAATAGTTCCTGATAACTGCCAACGTTACTTGCATTAATAAAAAAATGGGTATAAGAAATTACAGACCTAATTATTCCAATAGATGCAGTTGTCAGATACCATCTAAAAAAGAAGGGGTGGGGGGCTTAAAAGCTGGCATTTAAAGAATAATTCTTAGCATGGGTTCAGAAAGACTTTTTTTTACTACTAACTTCTAAAGGTATGTAATAAGTTTGCTTGTTTCTTTGTTGTATTTTTTTTTTGGTGGGGGATGAAGATATTCAGTTTTTGTTAAGTTATATAAAATTACTAGCAAGTTATAGATAAGTTTTATTTTTTCTTACTACATTTCTTAAAATATGAAATTTTAGAATGAGTTCATTCTTTAAATCACACTTAATGCCAAATCATGGTTTTCAGTATAAACATACACTTGTTTATCCGTGAAAGTAAATCCAATTAATGCTTAAAAAAGTATTCAATGTCTTTGAAGAACAGCAATGTACTAAAAAAAAAAGAAAGATATGTCATGCAAACAAAATATATTAAACAAAATCTATATTCTCAAATGTACAAATTTTGTAAGATCAAGCTGTTGTAATGAGAACTGGCAGCTCTAGAGAGACACCGAGAAATTTTGACAGTTTGTAGAATTAATAATTTCATCTCTCGTAACATAGGATTCACCACAAGATAGTCATAATGACTAAAAATAAAAATTACACTTCTAATAAATCAAGTTTACGTACCCCATAATCTAAAAATATGTTTTTGCTATTTATTTGTTACATACAGCTTTTTTTTTCCCTATGTAACAATATTTTATAACATCATTACAAAATTATCACTAATTTTATTAAGGAAATCCAATTAGACTACCCAAAGAAATTTTTGGTTCATACAATTCATAAAAGTTGGAAGCAAACTCTTGAATTTGAGATACTTTTTATAATGGTTGATAGTGTAAGATGAAAAAGCAAACATAATGTTAAATCCTTTTACACTAAACTTTTTGTAGCCAAATGTTAGCTGATAAGCCTAAAGAAACTAAAGTAATACCATGTTAAAACTGAAACTTGGACCAGTTAACAAACTTGGTCAGTATTCCCCTTACACAAAACATCCACCCATAGCAATATTTATCATATAGTATAATAAAAATCCTAAACAGTAGCTACACAATTTTTAACCAAAATATTTCTTAGATTTTAACGTACTTATATCAGTAGAAAACTAAAGTTTACTTTCTACACAATAAAAGTGACTTGAGCCAAGACCCAAGTTAGCATATGTAGTGAATCCAAATTTAGATGTTTACATTTCCATGTCTTGGCTAAACATTCTTAACGTATTCAGTAACTCCAACTTTAATGAAACAAATTAGTCTAGTCAGGATAAAGACAATTTTACATTTAATCATAATATACGGACAACAAGGGACCATTTGATCCTTCAAGGCTGTCCCTGAACAACTACACTTGATAAATAAAAACTTTAACCCCCCCTTATTTTTCAAAAATTCATCAACTCTTGTGAAGAGCTGGATTTCAGTACTACAGATACAACTCATTCCATAAGCCAGTTATAAAAACAAAACTGTCTTAATTGAAGCTTAACATGTCTTTTCCAATTCTTAATATTGTATTCTATCATTCTATGTCAGGCCACGACAAATACTTTCAGATCTAGGAGCCAGCCCCAAAACTCAGGAGACAGGTGTGCCTAACCTAACTTAACTACTCTTTGTACCGGGAAATATGGGTACACTAGTGCCTCAGTAAACTATTTTTTTTTCTTTGCCACAAATTTTTTCAAAATAATTATGCCATTACAATTATAGACAATATTTCACATGTTTTAAAGAAACTGTTGCTCAGAAATTAATTTTGTTTTCAAAATTTTAGATTTTTCAAGATATCTGGGGGTTTTCACATGCAGGATCTGGCATGTGTTCAAATCTTAAATCTGCCAGTTCAAGTCTAGTCTCGTCTCTCTTATTCTTAGCTGTTAAGACAGGAATGTTGTAGCTTGTGAAACTTTATTCAGTTAGTGATTAAAATCATAGTATACAAGATTTCACTCAACTTCAGTTGTCATTTGCTTTAACAACAGATGCATGTTCAGGTTGTGTTGGGGTGTCACAAAGTTACACATCGTCCTCTTCCCTATAGATAATTGGCATCTTCAGTCTGTTTTAACAAAGGTTTTTTTGTAATAATTCCCAAGCATAGACTTGTGCAAGTTTTTGACTTATTTTTTCATAGATGTTAATTGGGTGCGAATGCACTACCATGGCTAAAGCAGAAAAAGTGCCAAAATGGGAATGGGCAATCAAAACAGGAACTGGACTTGTGTAACACACGAAATTCAGAGCACATCCAACCGACTCTTGGATTATGATAATGTGATTAAACGACAGTAAAAGAATTATAATCTAAAACAAGGAACTTAAATATATTGAAATATTTTACTAAGATTAAACATTGGCTAATTAACGAGATATACAAGTGCTTCAATTATCCACGATTTTTAGGCTTTCCCCGGACCAGCATGGATAATCAAGGCACCCTGTACATTTATTTACTTTCACAGCAACAAGTGCATGCTAACAATCATGATACCAACAACCACTTGATAATATTGCCTGAACTAACTGCTTTTGGTACTGTTTAAGTCTAAACATGCACATTGACTGGTTGAATTGAGGGAAAGAAGAAAAACAAAATAATGCAAAACTAGTAACGTGTTGTGCAACCATAGAGCTTCATTCCTGAAAAAGTATTGAATCCATCATTAAAACCATAGAAACAAAGTTTAATTTAGGACTCAGAGAATGCAAAAATAGTTCCAGACTTTCAAGAGGCCAGAACTGTTATAGATTAAAGTTTTACTTAGCACAGCTCTACGCATGAATAAATTGGGAGAAAATACTGGGCATCAAGATGAAATTTTTAGCCACCATGGCAACCTGGCACTTAGGATTTGTCAAGGCCAGTCCTATGTGATCTTCAAAATATAAAAAGAAATCAGGGGACTATCTTATTGATCCCCAAGACAATCTTTAAAAACTTCAATAAGGTCAACTGTTACCCTTTTTTCTAAAGAGAAAATAAGAGATCTTAACCTACCCCTACAAGAGAAACACTTATTTAGAAACATCTCGATAGCCCTCCACTAAGCACTTTCCAATAAGTCAATATTTTCTCTTAGCTAAGACCAAAACAATATTCCAAGCAAGACATAAGTAGCAATTTGTAAATAAATAATTAACTATCTAACATTTAACCAATTTGTCTATAAATACACTAAACTTCTATCAACATTGCTTCAATGGGTTAAACTCATCCACTACTATGCCAAGACCATTTTCTTCAATCACCTATACAGTTTCCATATATATTAAACATCTGATCTAAGTTATGATAACCCAACTTTTCGTACAACTTACCAACTGATCAAAGACATTCTGTTTTACCTAAACATCCTCAATACAGCTATAAATACCCAAAAGTCTAATTTCTTCAGCAAACTTTACTAAATTTACTAATTACATCCTATCGATATTGTTGATGTAAATAAGAAAAAGCTTAAGGCACAATTTCTAACCTCTGAGGTACTGCTCTAGCAACAACAGTCAAGTATGACTGGACTCCCCCAAATCTTTCACTACGGTAGCAGCGTTTATTCCCTGTACACAATTTTATTGTGCAACTGTTATAATATTGTGGTTTTTGACACATTATCTTTATTTCAAAGTGACTTAAAAAATAAGTTTTTTTTTATGATTTCACAATAGAATCCTTTTTATGTTAATAAGTTGAATGAATATGGTGTAACAACTCAAAAACTGCTTTTTACAACATTTTTAAAGCTACTTCTCTCAGTTAAATAATTTATTTATCTTGATATACAAACATGCAGCACAGGTATCTAGTACTCAAAACTTACTCGGGATAAATACTGGAGCTTTTTACACATTCACAGCTTTGACTTTTCTGGGATGAGAGAAAGAAAGACACCGCATGTACAAGAGAAACAATTGATCCCAATTTCATTTTTTTTTTTTTCACTTTTAACAATGTTAACATGCAGAAAGTAGTGAATGTCAAAGATGCCCCAGGATTTATCCCAACACGTCTACAAAAACATTTTATCCTGTTAATTACATACAGTATTTAACAATATATCTTTTTTAAAATTCACAGTAATTCACTTAATATATAAATATACTTTTAATCTGAATGGCAGTTAAAAGCCATTATGTATATTTTTTGAACAGAATAAACAAAGTTATAAAATAATAAACTTCAAGCATTTTATGCAATTAATAATGGAAATGGAACATAAAGGCAGAAAACCAGCAAAATGGGAACTTAGATGTAATATTATATCTGCAGGAAATGAACAGTAGAGGTACACAATGGGTTTGACATAGCTTTAGGGTCTAAAATTAGAACATAAAACTTCATCTTCTGTAACGTTTTAGGTAACACTTTGTATCCACACCCATCTTTAAGTTTAATATTCACATAACCCATCACTTTAATATTGTAATAAACATTTTTCTGTGACAAAGTAGCCTCACCCTGTGTGGGTCAAAAACACACCAAATCAGCAACATTTAAAGGAAAGAAAAACCGTGACATAAGGTTAAACATGAATTAAATACTTGGATATATAACTTATCTGTAAAATTTTGAATGATAATTTTTTTTATATTATCTAACCTGAGAAATTTTATAAAACTGAAAGATATTTGCCATGTAATAAATATATTTCAACTTAAAACACAGCACAGGCAGTTTTTTCTAAAAATTCTATATAATACATACACATACCATGGTGTAAAAATCCCATAAATTCTAACCTTTAGCCCTAAGTTTTAGGTTAATCACCTTAAATATCCATTCAGTACTGAAATGACGAACGATGGTCCATGCTCCTGCCATTAGCAAAATTGTAAGGATACATGACGTATTAAAATGCCAGTAACTTTTGATGTCACGCCATGTTCCTTTTGGAAAGTCATAATCTGGATCCTTTAACTGATTAAAACTTTCCACGACATACCTGTAAATACCAACAATAAATTCAAAATAAGAAGGAATGCGCTCCCACTCAACTACCGTTTCTCCTACAGCCATTTTTCTTTACGTTATGCGCGCCCTCTTTAATACATAATCGCTCTACTTTTATAGGCTCGTGCTACTACGACATATCAAAAATAAGACTCCAAGGTCATTACCCGTTGCCAAAAGAAAAGCAAAACAGTAAATCAAACTTGGTTGTTATTTATACGATTTATTATAGATTTGTTATTAGCATTTTTGTACGTTAGACATGTATAACAAATATAAACGATTTTGTGAGCCAATATAAATATTTAAATACAAAGTTTGTTTGTTTGTTATTAAGCACAAAGGCTAGACAAAGGGCTATCTGTGCTCTGCCCACCACGGGTATCTAAACCCGGTTTCTAGCAGCATAAGTCCGCAGACATACCACTGTGCCACTGGAAAACAAATACAAAGTGTCCATAAATATGAAGATACATACGTCATCAGCATTACCCCAATGTAACCTTTTTTGGAAAATTAATGAATGTCGTTGAGAATTAACAAAAAACAGCACCCCCCCCCCACTCCAAACACAAAAAAATAACAAAAGCGCAAAGTTATTAAACTGAAATTGTTTTTATATTATTTTTTACCAGATGAAACGGTTCCTGACCTCTTCTGTATTCTTTTTACTTTGACTATAAAATGTTTAGAATTATAAATACATTCAATTTCTATATTTGACACTGTTGTAACTTTGTTCTATCGTTTGCCAGGCTCCTTTAAATTATTTGGTAAAAAATAATGCAAGAACAAGTCCAAGTAACAATAACAGACTAATTTATTTCTTCTTTAATAACACTTGCTACAGCCACTTTTACCTGTAGGCCTAACTTCCAATACAACAATTTTTAACAGATACTACTGTAACTACTGGAGGCTTAATATTATAATAATGTTTAACAGAAATTTCCTTAATTATAAGTACACCTATTTCACAAATGAACTTACTTACCCTACAGAATTTCCTCGCTAATCGTTCAAATAATTGAATACACATGATCAATCTTACTTCTAACTCTGAATAACTTTTCTGAACTCATAAACTCACTGAATACTCATCAAATCTTCACACAATGATTATTCATATTCATAATGTTCTCTGTTTCTACAAATTCAACAAAATTTCTAGATTACTACATCATTATCATGAACTTTCTAGATCTAGCGTCATAATCATGATTAGCAGCTCCCTCTAACAAACAGTTATATTATAACATTGAAAATACAACTTATAACGCTGTTAACTATCGTCTCCGATATTGCAGCGCTAAATATCAGGGCTTATAGCACTAAAAATCAGGTTTCGATACTCACAGTGGGCAGAGCACAGATAACCCATTGTGTAGCTTTGCGCTTGATAACAAGTAAACAAATCGTATCTGAAAATATAACTTCCTAAAAACTTTTTTAAGTCTGCAATCGCTTTATATTTACATACATATTATTTCAAAACATTAGTTATTATTTTGGAGTATTATTAAATCATTATTATATCCCCCTAGTGGCTCAGTGGTAAGTCTGAGGGCTTATAACGCTAAAAATCGGGATTAGATACCTACAATGGTCAGAGCACAGACAATCATTGTGCATTTTTGAGCTTAACAACGAACAAACAAAAATCATTATTATAATAAGAATATCTTCTCTGACTTTTGAATTTTTTAGCGATGAGTTTTGACCAGCTACTAAGCATCTTAAAAATATATCAAGAGATGGCACTAGCATAGATTAGTAGCTTGTTTGTTTGCTGAATTTCGAGCAAAGCTACTCGAAGGTTATCTCTGCTAGGCGTTCTTGATCTTGAAATGATAGATTATAGGGAAGACAGCTAGTCAACACCATCCACCGCCAATTCTTGGGCTACTCTTTACCAACGAAAAGTAGGATTGACTGTCACATCATACCTCCCCCAACAGTTGAAAGGAAGGGCGGGATTCGAGCCCTTGACCCACAAATTGCTAACCATCAGGCCATTCCATGTAGCATGGGGTGGTAGAATTTACTCTTTCTCTAATTACATTATTCGCATTTACATGTATGAATTTTTGTCTAAATGAAATATTTCTGAATACAGAGTAATGATTTGATACACATTCCTGTATGAATATAAATATGTTAACAATTATTTCTGGATATAAGTGAATAGATAAAATAACCACATTTGTGAGCATACTTATAACTTCCGTTTCATAAATATCTATTAGAACATACTATAAAATATATGTCATCATTGTATTTACGTTTTTTATTAGCGTAAATAAAAAAACAGTGTTCCCACAATTCACAGATTAAGTATTGCTGATCTAATGAGCTAAAAAGATTATAAAACGCAGCCAGAAGAGAAATGACCCGAAACAGAAGATAAATCAATCTTTTTTTTTAAATAGTTTTTTGTTCTCCTATCAATATACATACACTTTATACATTGTATGCTCTGTTACAAGCTCTGAATTATGTGGTGTTAGTATTTCGATTGTCTTTGATTCCTGCAACATTGAAATATGGATTTATTAAATAGCACCCTGAAAAGAAATATCGTGTGTTGCACGATTAATCTAATATTTTTTAAACTAATAGCTATCACAGAAATGATCAAGTCTGAGTACTGACCGTTTTTCAGAAAGTTTCATGTTATCAACTTGTTTTGTAAAGGTAAACTGATAAAATAAATAATTTGGAACTATATGATGTTTAATAATTGTTTGAATACAAACAGCGTAGTTTTATCAGTCTTACGACATTTTTCCCAGCAGGTGGAAACTAAGAATTATTGAAACTTTGACAGGCGTAATGGCAGACCCTGCAGTGATAACCATTTGGCTATACACGATGAGGTATTTGCAGACCTGTTAACCTGTGGGTGATGCCAGTGAGTGAAATTTCAACGTGAACTGCAACCGCCATGAGTAATGACCAGATTTCCAAATTCTTCAAGAAAAAAATGAAATACAAGAGCAACAGCTAAGTTACAGAAGTTCGAAATTTTTATTTAAGAAAAATTTCTATAGACGCATACATCTATGTGAAGTTGTAAAAATCAAAAGCCACAATAATCCACGACTTAACAACCTGTGCTTGTTTCAATAGCGCAAGCGTGGAAATTCATGATTATCAGAATATAATAAAAAATATTTTTTGAGAGATTTGAAATGTGTATAGGGTGATTCTCACATACTTAGGTTTATAAGGTTAAGTTGTATATTACAGGCTACCCACAAACACGAACAATTTGGAGTAATCAATCGTATTACAGGCACAAATATTATGTTAAATACTGGTCCACTTTAATAATTGTTAGTTTTACCCAAGAGAGCCCAAAATTATAAATCATTTTAATTACATGAAGAAATCTTACACTCGCGGCAAGAAATGGCCCCATCACGAGATTATCTTATATTGAAATCATCGATCGGAGCTATGAATGAGTCAAGTGAGGAAATTGTTTGGCGGGAAAGGAGCATGCGCGTGCGCCATATTTCATTTATCAAGATCATCCGGGTTTTATCAAGCTGGGCGGGAAAGCAACGCTTGATGGTCGACTGCGAAAATGGAGGTATACGTTCTAATACAGAAGTATTTCCTCATTTATTACTGTCGTGTAACGAAGGTAAGATTGTCCGCTTTATTTTACCCGTTAGACATTTTAAATTTCATTTTACACCTAATTTTTTTTACAGTACGTTAAAGAGTAAGACTTCAAATTCTTAAGTTTGTACCGCCAAAATGATTCAGATTGCGTCAGTTCACTACATTTACATTAACGTCAGTCATTATATTACACGCTGAAAATAGAGCCGCTGTTTCCATGGGCACGCTGTTATAAAGAATATTCGTTATCAATTTGTTTGTTTGATATGTCACATTTTAAAGTCAGTAGTATCCAGGTCCTTTAAAATAGCTTTGTAAAATATTTCAATATTGTTTGAGTACGTGAATTAGTTATCTTTTTAGTATAAATATATGTTGGCTATGCCACCACTCTGACACAAAATTGGCAATTTGCCATAATTCAGTTTATTGGAAAGTCTTAAGTCCAATACTATGGTGTTATACCAGTTAACGCTAAATAATGAATATGATATTTGACAATTAAGACATGAATAACATTTAATTCACATCTTAGTATGAGCCAACAATAATATTAGTAATAACGTTTTACATCTGTTTAGTTTAATTGCAATAATGTAGCACAGACTTCATTAAATAGTTAAGAATAATATTATTATTAGATCCAGCATAGTTAATTTTACAGAATTATTACTTATTTCCTAAAAGGGGGCCGAAGGCCGCCTGGAAGGTTCACCTGTTTTAAACATTCACGCCACTATCCAATAGTGTGTTATCTGTCAGTCAGCCAGTAGACACTAAAATGACGTCACATAAGGAACACTTAAGGTTACAATTTGTACTGTCGTGACGTCAGTAAATCTTGCGCATGCCATGAATCGCGAGAAGAATTATGCATTCCGTATACTACCACACAGCATGACAAATGAACTTCAAAAGTATGAAATAAAATTATTTGTTACTCTTAATTTTGATTTTATTTACTCTTGAAACAGAACACTTTTGGGACCTTGCAGAAATACATCTAGTAATAGTATAAGTACAAATTAGTATTATATTACTCTTGTTAGCCTTTTAGTTAGTGAAATGACGTTAGAGAATTCAAATAAGTAGCTTAACATTAACGTTGTGAATACGTTTTTTAAGGCATTATACCAGTGATTAAGCATACATCCAACCTGATTTTTGATAACGTCTGATAATCCAGGATTAAGTAGGTTATTATTACGTACTGCTGACTTAAATGTTATGATGTTGAATGCCAAAATGTGGAAGCCAATAGGCAGAGAAAAGAGAAATTTGCTGTTCTATTTTCTATATAAACCTGATGTGAAATTTGCATTTAATAAATTTACCCTAGAATTCATGATGAAGCAATGGAGTGCATGATCGATTTTTAGAATTCATTTTTCTAAACTATTTCTACACCAAATTGTTTGTGTGTCCATGACTTTAACATGAACTCCTAATGGGATGGCAGTCACAAAAAATAATCTGAAAAAAAAATACTGTCAATATTACAGTGAATACCATAACTTGTGTTCAAATTTTCTATGTATCTTAAACACAAAATTAATGATTTTACATTAGTTTTTATTGATTTTTTTACACAATTTTGTGACATAATTTACTTGATATCATTAACTACATCAGTAGTGAACAGTATGTAAACAAGCCAACTAATTTGGGAGTTAAACAGAATGTGATGATGGTGAGAAAGGGAGACATTAGCAAGCAAAGTAATTTTTCCAACTATTTTGCAAATTCAAGTAAAATCAGAGAAAGCATTCAGTAAAAGCTTTAACCCAATTTTAAATTGGATATTTGGAATTGTTTCCTGTTCAGTGTATTTTAAGTTAACTATAACAGGATTTTAAATAGACAACAGTAACTTGAGTTTTCTTTACTGATCAGTAAAAATTGTGTTTTTAACAAGTGATCTTTAATTACGGTAAGTGCAAGATAAGACATTTGGGTTATAATAATTTGAATTGTACATCTTATGTAGATGGGAACCAACTCACTTGCATGACCGAAGAAAAATATCTTGGCATAGCAGTGGATAAGTCAGTTAAGCTGTTAAAACAGTATTCTGTCACTAGTAGGACTAGTGTATCTATAGAGACATTAATTAAAAGGTAATTATCACTCTGTACAAAGTTACAAATTACTGGATAGGCCTCATTTGGAATACTGTGTACTGTTTTGGTCTTATCTAATAAAGGATGTTGACTTTCTTGAAAGGGTTCAGAAGAGGACTGATGCTAGGTATCGAAAGATTGCCTTATAGGAGTAGTTAAGATCTCTCATCATTTTTTTTTGGAAAAAGGAGGGTAAGAGGCAATCTTATTGAATTTACAAGATTATTTAGGGGATCCATACAACAAAGGCCTCTGATTTCATTTTTGTATTCTGGAGACAATAGGATGAGACACAAATTTAAAATTCTGAAAGGTAAAGTTGGGCTTTAGTTAAGACAGTTTCATTTCTATAATAGGGTTATTGGTTTATAGAATGAGTTGCCATTGGCAGTGGAGGAGGCTGGAACTTTACAAGAGTTTAAGAGGGAAATGGATGATTCTATGAAAAATAAAGGACAAGTTTAAATTTTTATTTTTGTGCAAGATGGATGTGCAAAGACATGCTTGAAGGCCCAAGTGGTCCATATGTTATTTGGTATTAATTTGCAGTAGGAAATTTATTAATTTTTTTTCCTCTATCGTCAATATGGTCTTTAAACTCTTGTAAAGTGGTGACCTCCACTACTGCAGACAGCAGCTCATTCCACAAGCCAATCACCATATTAGAAATATAAAATATACTTCTTGCAGCGTAGCCTTTCTTTATCCAAATTTTAAACTTGTGACTTCTTGATCTGTTATCAGTGCTTTGACACTAAAACCAATGTACCAAATAGTTTTTTTCCTACTTACTGTAGTGCTTCATTATTGGATCAATTCTTCCTTATGATCAAACATTGATATTTTTATGTCATATGTAAAACAACACATGCCCAAAAACTATTATCACACACACACACACACAAAACATGATTAAAAACTTTTTCTAGACATTAATAATTAATATTAAGTTTTGATTAGAGTAAGCTATGCACATAGAACAAAACTGAAGATCAACCCAACAATCAGTATAACTAATTATTTATACTTTTATTACATTTCAATTTTTAACGATATATCAATTACAAATGATAAAAGAAGTCGACAGAAGAAATTTAAAAAGGTTGTAGTATAAGTTTTAAACTTGGTCTCACATGCCAAATAAAAATAGAAGTTTATTACGTGGACTCTGATCGTCAGTGTACAAAAACATTTATTTTAAAAATTAATTAAAGATTACACAGAACTCGTAGAGCACTAATCTTCTTTGGTAGTCAAAAGTGTTTAATTAATAGACGTTCTCCATGCAGAACTGCAACATCTTGATGTTTACCATTCCACAGGCTGTTGTCACCGTGTTCTTTAACTTTTTTTATTGTTCTAAGTTCACAAAAGATTTATCCAACTATACTTACTATTTTTCAAAACGTTTTGTCTGGTGGTTATCGTGCCGCACTGTGAATCCGAGAGTACTCTTTTCGAAGCTCGTTGCCGCTAGAAAACGCACTCAGCACTTTAGTGTTGTTGGTGCACAATTAAAGTGACTGTCAAATTTCACTATTTGTTCAGATAAAAGTTGCTTGTGAATGGTATTGACGAATTTTCCTCTTTAAAGTCCATCATTTCAAAATTAGGGACGGTTCGGTAGATACTTTTTTGTGAAGCTATGCGCAAACAAAACTATTTGTTTTCATGCACAGATATACTGACAGTATGGCATATAATTGCATAGGCCGCCATTGCTAATAATATAGACGAAGCTAAAAGAGAAATTATGTATTACAAGCAGATTTCTAAGCAAAATGTTAGTAGGTTGATATTTAAACATTGTTGTTTAATTACAGTTATAATATATTTTAGTTTTTAAATCAAATAAAGAAAATAATAGGTGTTTCTTACTGTAATTGACGGTTTCCAATGAATTTTTCATAAGAGATTCGTAAGAAAAGACCAGCATAAGACTTGAATTTGAGGAAAATAAGATATCGCATATCTCGTTGGTTCTTATGGTTTATTTTTGGAAGTCATGCAAATTTAAATAATGCGCGCTTTGTTGGGTATCACGCGAAATGTAGGAGCGCTGTAAAGTTCGTTGTTAACTGCTGTTTTATCGGTTCGTGCAAAATGTTCACTAATATATATTTCCCGATTTTAAATTTCTAGGGGATTTGGAAAGCTTTCAAGGAGAAATATCAGATCTAAATACCTCAGTAAACAAAGTTTGGTTATTACCTTTAAAGACCTGGATTTCAAAATCACTGTAGAATTTTAGTAATAGAATGACTGGTTTAAGTGGTTATTATTGAGATGTACGTGACGTAAGTCTTGCCCACTCCTATTTGCTACTTAAAATATTTGTATAAATTGAAAATTGGTTACAAAATCCGTATTGTTTTATTGGCAAATATTAAACTTATTCACCATTGTATTGTGTTCGGAAGCACAGAAATGGCATGCACAAATATATGATTATATGCTTTAAGTAAACACTGGCGATATCTCGAGTTTTTATCAACTTTTTTTGTGTTATTTTTCGCATAGGTAGAAAGTAGTGTGACAGATCAGTTATAAAGGACTGGTTTAACCGTAGGAAAAGTTACCTATCCTGCCAAGGTACTCTCGTCAACAGGACATAATACAAACACACGCGTTCGTAAGTCATGATATTTGGTAGTTGAATAATATCTAAAATACATAATAAAAATAAATATGTATAATTTGATTTACCGTCGTTGTACTCTTCACTATAAGATAGTGAAGGATTATGTCTTTGATTTAGGCCTACGTAATTTATCATGTTCTATACGTTAGGACTGATACCACTACACTAAACCTAAGACAGCATCTTCAACGGCCCAAAAAAATTGTATTTTTTTTTATCTCTCCTACAAGTCCTTTAAGAAAAACCTAAATGATTATC